AAGTGCAGGCTTACCTGAGCAGTCTTCCAGCAACTTGCTTCTGAGATCGGGCCTGTCTATCGGCGGCTGTCATCCCCCCACGCCCTCTCCTCCTTACTTCTTCTCCCCGCGTCCCTGTGCCGATCGTGAGGCAGGGAGGAGTGCGGCGTGGATACAGGTGGGTCTGGCAGCGGCGAGCGTGAGGTGGGGAGGAGGTGCGGCGTGGAGCCGTGAACAGTGCCAACTAATCGGAAGCCAATTAATCGACGATTGAAAACATTGACAACTTTTTCAATCGATTATAATCGATTTAGTCAATTCGTTGTTGCAGGCCTAGACCTGATACAGCCATGATGAACAGTAAATGTCCTTGGAATGATTAAAGAGCTCAGTAGCTAAAACTGAAATTTACACTCACTATTGAATGAGTCACAGCAATGATTCTTCCCTTTCATATATTCCCTTAGTCCCTGTCAATTGTCAAAGCCTCTATTGACCACTGAAGTTTTCATATTTGACATCTAAATGTAGCAGCATTAGCATAAGGATGGTAGGGCCCAATCTAAACTTGTAGAGAAAGTAAGGCCACATGTACAGCCTGTTCCTGTATGCCTGCTTTTGTGTTTACAGTACAGAAGGCCTAGTGTCCTTCAAGTACATGATAAAATAATGCTTGAATAGGACACATTCAACAAATCTCTTCTGACAGATACACTAGTAACTACATGAGAACCAACTGGAGCCCAGCACTGCATTAAGCTAACATACCTCAATGTGACAAGCTGCTGGCAGATATGACAGTGCAGGCAGCTAGCTTTGCCTACACATACCCTACACATACGCACTTCCAAATGTGGGGCAGTTTTGCATTCTGGAGCTTGCCTATTCCCACTTTGCCCCATACCATTCTATTAGCCTGGCCTATTATTGTGGAAGGCTGCCTTGGGGGGCCAAAAGGAATATGTGGGACCCAGAAAGGGTGGGCAAGCTTCAGCACAGGTAACGATGCCATAGCTTTGCTCAATCATTTTTATATTGTGCACACATGGGCAATGTCAAATATCTTTGAATGAAAGGCTTTTAACCTCTTGCCGTCCGCCCGTAGTAAAAAAACGGACGGATGGCACTGCTGCATTTGCATTTTTTTCTGCTCTCCCCCCTTTTTTTTTTTTTTTTTTTTTTTTTTTTTTAAATCTTTTGCAAAGTTGGCAATTTGCATCACATTTCCTTTAGAACCTTAGTGCTATGCAGTTAGTTTAGTTTATGCAAAAGTTCCCAAGGCTAGAAATTTGAGCAAGTTTTGTTATGATAGAAAAACATTTCTCAAATAGCAGAAATAATTTTTTCCTGGACAATTTAGCCATACTTTGTACTTTATGTGAAGCAATGTACATTCAAGATTTTGATGAAAGGGCATTTTACTGTAATTTTGAGTAGTTAGAAAGGTACATTTCTGCAATCATCATGAAATAACCTTTGCCTTCTGCAGCTAATGGTGCTAAAACCCAAGAATCAGGCTTCAAGGCTTGTTTTATAGATCAGATGAAGGCTATACTTCTTAGAGCCACATATGCTACTCAGATTATACTATTCATTATATAGGCTTCTATATTAAATTACTAAAACATTAACCCTTTCGCTGCCAAGCAAATTTTTCATACGTTTGAAGAATTTACTAATGATCGCCAAAACAATGTGTTTTCTAAAAGCGTTGGACCTGTGGAATACAATTTTATAGTGGTCCAGATTTTGTATGTTTCACCATATTTGTCAATATCATTATAAAATCTATGTTTTCAGTAAATAATACTTTTTTTGTGCACACAAATACAACATAGTGTCATTTTTTACATATATTGGAAGGTGTGGACTCTTCTGTTAATAAATACCCAATATACCTAGCCTCAAAATCACAAGCACTTATGAAAATAGGAGTTATACCTACATACTGGCTCTAAACTGTTCTTTTGTGTGTGGGGTGCCTAAAATGTGTTGTATAACACATGTATTCTGTACGTGTTTAAACTGCATACATGTGTCTGTGATTTTGGAGATGGGGAGGAAACCTTTACTTTTTTATTTTTTAACTACATTTTACTTTTTTATTGTGCTTTATTGCTATCATAAGGGGGCTGACATACCCCCTATGTGATGGAACATTGGCAGGTGACAGGTTATCTTGATAGAGACATTGAGGGCTAGGGGGCCAGCCTATGTAGATTATAGATAAAAGCCTCCCATCTGCATCTTAGCCAGCAAGTGCTGCTGGGATTCTGAAACTCTGAGCCTGGGGAATGCCTAAATCCGATAGCATCTGTGTTCCTATAAGACAGAAGAGATCAATTAATGCAACTTCCACAGTCTTTTAGCTCAGTTTAAGTCTCCCTGTAGTGGTCCCAGGCTCAGAGTAGCAAGATGAGAACTAGGAGGAGGGAGTTTGGTCCTTTTTGCTGGGATGTAGAAGTGGGGGTTAATTTTTACTAAATGACAGAAATCCAGTTTTTAAATTGTAATGTAAACAAGAAGGAAAATACGTGTGCTAAAATATAGTGCACAGCAGTTTTTTTTCCTGCCAATCCTAATTGTGCTAGGAAAGAAGAATAACGGCTGCTATGCCCATTGTGACCGCTAAGTAAAATCACTTGGGTGCATATAGAATGGGAAATATGGGTGTCCTAGGTTCAGATTATATAGCGTATCCTGTGACAAGTTTCTTTTGTGACATCCGAAGGTTACCTGTGTCATCAGGTGGGGTTAGTGTCTCAATTGCCACATGATGCCATTGTGCGGAGGGATTTTCCAAAATTCTGGAAACACTGGGATGGTATCTCTCTCTCTATCTCTCTCTATCTCTCTCTATCTCTCTCTATCTATCTCTCTCTAATCTTGTGCCGCTGTATAATGCACTATTGCTGGCATTTGTTGTATTCCTCTATAACTGGTCAGTGGTATTCTGCATTGCGCCGTATAATCATTATACAGCGTAATGCAGAATGGCACCAGCTATAGAGGACTACAAATCACAGCAATAGTACATTCTAGTATAATGTACTATTGCTGCGATTTGCTGTATTCCTCTATAGCTGCTGGTATTCTGCATTGCGACACTGTATAATGTCCTATATTGCACACCCCACTTTTGTTTTTTACTTCCACCGCGCCAAGCTTGCTCCTGTGATGGATTACAATCTCAATACAAACTAGTAGTCATCACTGGAGCCTTTTAAAAAAAAATTTTTATCCGATTAATCGGCTAACTGATTATGAAAATAAGCTGCAGCCCTAAAAGTGGCTCAATTGCGTACCTCGGGGATCATCCTCAAACAGATGGATTGGTTGAAAGGTTCAACAAAACCTTAAAGGGTTTCTAAACCCTCTGTTTTTTTTGGCCTATATCTACTGCTAGCAAGCAATAGATAAATGCAAAAAGTTTTTTTTTTTAAAAACAATGCTTTAACAGCGGTTTAAACTTACCCCATTTCCGCTGCGCGCTCCCGCCCGAGAATCCGAAACTGCTCGGGTGGCCGCAAAGCATCCTGGGGCGGGCGCATGCGCAGTTCGGATTTCCAGCAAGGAAGACTACAGAGGTGGATATACTTATCCTGAGTACCGGAGTCCGTCACAATACTCGCCTGACTTCTCCAAAGACTTTGTAGTACAGACTGATGCGTTGGATGTAGGATTGGGAGTGTTGTCTTTGAAAAGGTGAAGAACACCCGGTCATTTACCTTAGCAGTAAATTGAACTCTCATGAGTTCAACTCTCCCACAACGGAATGTTTAGCTGTGAAGTGGACTCTGGATTCCTTGAGGTACTATCTGCTAGGTAGACATTTTGACCTAATAACTGATCATGTTCCCTTTTTAAAGTGGATGGCCCAAAACAAGGAGACCAATAGATGGGTTAATCGGTTCCTGGCCCTGCAGGAATTCAGCTTTACTGTACAGCATCGACCCGGTGTACAGATGGGGAATGTGGACGCTTTATCTCGGGTTCATGGTTGCCTGGCTACTTGTGTTCCAACCCCAAGGAGAGAGAGAGAGATATCACAGCAGGCAACTAAAATTGCCTGGGTGCAGTCAGTATGGCAAATGTGTGTCCCAGGTTCCGGTTATATACTGATCTCTTCCACTAGAGGGAGTGCTGGGGGTGCTTGAATGGTAGAGGTAATGAGCCCAGCTGAAGAAAGCCAGCTCATTAGGCCTCTATGAACTTCCAGACTGCTTGGAGATTGGCTCCACCCTGGAACCCAGTTTTGTGCCTGAATAGACTGGGGAGCTTCTGTACCCACCTGTGTGGTGAAAAAGAAAAAAAAAAAAACTAGTGTGGTGAGCCTGTGTGGCAGATTGTTCACTAGGAAGATAGGTGCTAGGGGCAGCACAAGGTTGCGCCTAGTTGATAGTAAGGGAAACTCTGTGTGTAGTAAGTTGCCAAGAGGCAAGGTTTTATTTTCGTGGGTTTTTTTTTATTTGTTATGTTTTGCTTGTGTATGTAAATAAACTGCACGTGTGTTGTTACGTAAAGAAATGGTTGTTGCTGTGACTATTTTCTGTGTAGTGAATTCATCCAGGGAGTCGCACACACCTGCTGCCGAGCTAACACCCTCACACCATATATTTTAATATAAGCTAGCAGCCATGAGCTTGATTGATCCCTTTGATTGCCATGACATTTAGTATGTGTCCATGGCAGTCAAAGGGTCAAAACCATTTTGGTGCGTTAAAGGGTAAATCCAGTTTCTCGCAAAACGTGAGAACATTAATTTACCCAGAGCACTGTGACCGTGTACAGCTGAAATATATGAATAGTGGTGGCGGAATGCTTTGGGTAAGTTACTTTCTCACATTTTGTTAGAAAATAGAATGACCTTTTACAGTAAACCTGTCACACACCTGGGCTGTCCGCAAAAGCTGCATGTTACTCCAGAGATGTACACAACTAAGGTATGCAGATCTCAAATTTTCCTTTAAAAAAATGACCGTGTCCAAAACTCTCTTCTTTAGCTCTATGGTTTTATTTTGATGTGCTGCAACATTGACCAGTAGAAAGGACTGGCCAGGCTGAGGTTTTAAATTAAAGTCAAGATTTGCATATGAATTCCACTGTTTTTATATTTCTGCCTTTACTAAACATTTTTTCATACGGTTTTTACTTACTGTAACCTCTCCTTGTGCATTTGTCCATGAGATCAGTGTACGTTTTTGCCATGTGATCCCGATAAAGCCACTTCATGTTTCTATCTATTGTATACTATTTTTCTGACATTTCTTTTTTAATGCTTTTTTTTCCGTATTTTATTTTTTTTGTTTTGTAAAATGTTTGTTTATATATGCTGGATTAGTGCAAACAAAATACTTGTGGATCATGACAAATATCTAGTGTTTTACCGAGAAATGCATGTATATTAACCCCTTCGTGATGGGAGACGTACACTGTACGTCCAGCCACAAAGGGACCAAATGACTTGTCACGTACACTGTACGTGACGAGTTATTTGCTTCTTTAGAGGGCTGTTATAAACTTTTTTTTCCTCTTTTTTTATATTTTATTTGTCCTAAGTGAGGCGTTGGACACACATATGTGATATAAATATGTAGCCCTATCTGTCCTCTAAAAAACAATATATAATATGTGTGGGTGCACTTTGTAAGAAAGTATATTACTGACGTGGAAGAATCACACAGCAAAAATGTCAAAAGTGTGTCAGTCATTTACGAACAGAAACTAAAAACAAGCTCAGTCATGAAGGGGTTAAACATGCCAAATCAAGCCATACCTGTAAAATAAATATATGTTTACCTCTCCTGCTTCCTGTGTTGCTAAACATTTCTCCAATTCTGAGAAATCTCTGCTAAAGTCCTCTGAGAAACTGACACTTCGGGAGTGTTGAGCGCCATGTTCTCCCCTAACGCTTACTGGTTCCTCCTGCTATGCTCCATGTCACTGATGTATCCTGTAAATCATAGAGGTCAGCAGGAGGAACAAGTGAGAGCTACAGGGGAACAGATTAATTCAGCAGATTAATTCTCAGGATAAGAACAGTGTTGAGCAGCACAGGCAGCAGGAGAGGTACGTAAATGTATACTGTCCTATCTTTTTTACAGGTATGTCTTGTTTTGTCATTTTTAAAATAGGGACAGGGACACTTTATACCAAATATTGTTGTCATCCACCCTCCCACTGGATACTTTGTAAGAGCAAATCGAGAATTCAGCATGGACCTGTTAATCCTACTGCATAGCATAAGTATAGTCCAAATTGCTTTGTGTGTGTGCGCTTGCTGTGTAACAATTGCTGGTAATTTCTAGCCAGTCAACACGGAAAATGTAATATCGACTTTTGTGGGGGGTTTTCATTTTTTTTTTTTATTTTATTTAATGCAGGACGTAGTGGTATTGGCCATGAAGAAATGAAGAAAAGAAAAGCCGAGGAAAATCTAGAGAACTACAGACAAAAGGTCCATTTGCGGAAGCAAACAGAAGAACGAGCAGCTGATGATTTCAGGTAGTGTTGGTTGTCTAGAAATACTTAAGTAGCTTTGTACATACTTGGGTACCATATGTTTCTCCGTAAAAAGACTGCTACCTGTAGGCACTTGAAGGGAAGATGTTTTCTACAAAAGCCAGATACCTTCTGTCTTGTTTCTAGTGTGGCTTCCATAGTAGAAATGTATAGCCAGGGCCATATTTAAACCTTTTGTTGCCTTTTTCCTTTTAAATAGTTATGCTTATGCTTTTTTTTTTTTTTTTAAGCATTATTTTATATACAGAGCTCTCAAGGTCTATTATTATACAGCCGTCACAGAATTTGGAGGAGAATGCTATTTATTTGATCCATAGCGAGTCTTGCTACTTAATCCAACTCTTCCTGCTTTCTTTTCTACCATAGCCAAAACTATCTAAACACAGGTTTTTTTAGCGTAGTTTTGCTACCCTATGCACAGTCTGAAAATCACCTAGTGTTTAAATACTGTCCTTCATATAGCATTTACTTGCAACTGCTCACTTACATAGTATACACAGATCATGGAGGTCCTGTTAACTAACAGACTCACATTTGCAGAGATGTGGAGTAGCAGATGAGCTTTATCATCCAGGTCCAACTGAGTGTGGGTATGCTTCCATTAAAGAGAACTTGTCACAAAAAAGCTAAATTTTGAAGGAAACAATATTTTGCGTGCTGTAGTCACAGTGATCATTTAGTTATGCCACTTTCCACAATCAAGATTACAAAATATTTAGCTTGCATGCAATTCCTCAAGCCGAATCTTTTGCTATAGGAGGGGCAAGAAGAGGAAATATTTTGCCCTTGAGGGCACATGCATTTGTGTATTCCATAGGCTACTGTATGTGTTGGTTTTCTTCAATCCTCAAAAATTATGATGGTGACATACTTAGATCGAGAGAAGTTTAAATCAAAACTCAACCCAACACTAAGAAAATACTAAGAAAATAAATTTGTGTAAAAGATCTTCTTGCGCTAGTAACTTTGCTTGGGTACATGCACACTCAATCCAACACTACACTGTCTATTGAACTTTGCCCACATGAGCTTAGTAAGGTTTATGATTTAAAGTACAAACTCTGGAAAATGGCCACTTAGTACTGTGAATGTGTGTCGCAGGCCCATTTATTACTATGGGAAAGCTGTACTTCCATGGTCAAATAGGGCTATATATGGCACAGGTCTACACTTGGTTTCAGTGATAATTATAGCTTTTTACGTAAACTGACTTTTTACAGGTGAGTTAAATTGATTTTGCCGACAGCTTAGTATTCCCAATATACAGGTGACACATACACTGACCATCAATATATTAGGGACATTGGGTGTTCAGTGTAGAATCCCTTGCTTACATCAGTGGTCAATGCAAATGCCCCTGTTACGTTAGTGGTCAATGTGCCTGTTATCATGGTGGTCAGTCTAAATGTCCCTGTTATATTGGTGGTAAGTGTAGATGGGCCTGTTACATGGGTGGTCAGTGCAAATATCCTTTTTATTTATTTATTTCCAAACGTTTTATTATTTTTTTATATTGTTAACCTTACTGGTCTCTGGGAAATATCAGGGATCTAAATAGACCCCTGATATTTCCTTTTTTTAAATAGAAAAATAGTCCTCGATCTCTTTTTCTGCAGCCCCTGTTATAAATGAACAGGAATCCTCTACACTGAGTGTTTCTGTTCATTCATAACTTGTGGAGATAGTATGTTTACCGTGTCCACAATCATGAATGAACAGTAAGTGATGTAGAGCACTCCCTGTTCATAATTGAGGGCACTGTAAACATACTATGTCAATTATTTACAAGCAGTCTGCGATCAGCTGATCGCTGACTGCCTGTACCTGCTCTCCATCCTTAAGGTGCGGGGAGGAGAGCTCGGTCTATTTTGACAGCTGACCCCTCCCCCGCACCGCCGACTCAGCCTCTTGTGACAGCTCACAGCTGGCTCCTCCTCCACACTGCTCTCCATCTTGACCTGTCACAGGAAGCGTAGCGGTGCAGAGGAATGCTCAGCCTCCTGTGACGTCGCAGCTCGCATCGCTCTCCTCTCAGCCCCACTTGGCTGCCTGAACGTTTCTCTCCTCCCCGCTGGACACTGCCCTGTGTCGGAGAGGACATAGAACACGCCCAGCGGGGAGGAGAGAAACCATGGATGCACCGCAATTTTGCATGAAAGATGTTACTTTCTGCATTTTGTCAAATTTTTAGTCCAATTTACGGCCAATTTGTTTCGGTGGCCGAAAATTTGGTGCATCCCTACCTGTTACATTGGTGGTCAGGGTAAATGGCCCTGTTTATTTGTGGTCCGTGTTCTGTCTCAACCATGGATTTATGTATTTGCGTATACCTCCTGGGATTTAATCTGTCCAGCCAGTATGACAACCTACTGAGATGATGGTATCCACAGGCAGGGTCAACTCGCCAACGAGGCTCAGAGTATAATCCAATGTAAATTATTCAGGCTTGACAACGCAAAAGATGTGGTTCCTTGTCATTTATTGGAGGTGGAAATACATTTATTTCTAAAGCCTTGCAACTTGTGTAGACCCCTCTTAACATCGTGATGGAGAAGGTAAAAGAAGTGGGAAGGGGATGCTGGGAGTGTCTAACTAAGGGCTGTACCAAAATAGACAAAACAGTTGGTGTAAAATGTACCAATGTACCAAGACACAAATGCATGATAAGCAATAACAAACAGACTGCTTGTGGCAGCACAGTCTGTAGAACTCCTGGTTACAAGTTACTGGAGGTAAATACTAGCATTTTTCTGACCACTGATATCAGGGCATCACCTCACCCACCACTGACCATCAGTGTGGGGCATTTTTTTATGTTATCGGAAACCACTTACGCTGAGGCATTTTTCACTCCCACTGACAACAGGGCTCCCCCCACCAACACTGGGACATTTTTCCCCCCACTGACCAGCGATAGATGGATGGATGGATAGAGATGCATACTCCTGACCGGTGCATCTTGTACACTTTGTTGTACATTGCATAGTCCTAACTGCTACATTCATATACTCTGTGGAGGCCTGACTAAAGTGTTTATTGCTGTATAGTTTGTAACTATACTAATGAAGTTCATTACTAGGCTCAAAGTGTCAGCTCACTGTCCATATTCTGTTTGAGATATTTTTCCATTTTTCAGGAACCACTCGCAAGGAAAAATGAGACAGAAACTTAGCTTGACAAATGGTAGGCATGGATTCAATTGCTGAGCCAGCCTCGTGTCTATGGTGTTGGAGACCCTTTCATAACTAAAATGTGTGCAATCTGGCAGCCAAATGTTGTCATGGTTCCCCCAGTAACATTTTCATGACTGACCCTGTTCCCTGAGTTTTCCAAAGAATACAAAGACTGTGAACAGGTTATAAGCAAGCATAGACTCTATTTAAAGTGATATTAAAGCCAAAAGGTTTTTAAGCCATGTACAAATTCTGATTAAATCTTTTACAATGAATGCTGCTTCTTAATGTTTAAAAGTTTTAGCTTCCTGCAGAATCAGCTGGTCCCCTGAGCACAGCAGGACAAGTCACTCCCCTGCTCCCCAATCCTCTTTCCCCTCTTCCCCGTACCGTATTTTGTTGTAGTTTCACAAGTTCGCATTTTTGTTAACCGGGCCATGTTGGGTATCTATTTACTCATTATAACATCATCTTTTATATTTTACAAAAAAAAATTCTTACTACATTTTTGGGTTTGATCAAGAGTTGCTTTGTTTGATGGTTTTAAGTAATTTTCTGACCTAAAATGTGGAATAACATGTGTGCGAAAAACTCAAAAAAGGCCTTAGCTGCGAAAGGGTTAAGTAATGTAAAACGTTTCGTACTAGCAGAATGTTATCTTTTGGTGCTGTGACAATAGTGAAATTTCCCAGAATCCTTCCCTGACACCCTCCCCGAATACCTAAAGTACCTGGTTTCTCTTGTAGGGTGTTTTTTCATCATATATTTCGATTGATAATCTGGAAATGGCAAAGCCAGTATTATAGTGCCACTGGTGTCTTGTTGAATTGTCTCTTCAGAAAGGCGAACCAGAAAGCTCAATCTCGGTTAACAGCTAAGCACTAGTTGTTATTATAGGACTTGGTGAAGGAATAAGAAGCTCCCTGCCAAGACTGCAAACAGAAAACCCTTCCGCATGTGATTAAAAAAGCTATCATTTTTCACTTTGGGTTTGTTGTTTTTTTTGCTTTTTTCCTGCTTAGGTGTTTTGTGCCGGTAGCACTATTGGCTGAACATCACAGGGGCCTCAAAGTTGCAGACCTAAGATAATGTTACAAGTGGAGAGTATTGTAACTGAATAAAGGTTGTATTAATAAAAAGGGCATGTGATGTTTCTGTATTGCTTCAAGCTGAGGTTTAGTTGCAAACTTTTTTTTGTTATACAAGAGCATCCTGCTGGCTGATGGTTTCTGTAGAAATGTTGGACCCTCTTAAGAGTGGTGAACCTCTGGAGCTCTATGAGTTAAAGGAGAAGTGTAGGTAGAGTAAAATATGCTTTCCCCACTGCTTAAAACTGACGTGGGACACTGCAGCTGTCACACTCCAGCTCCATACTGAGAGATCATGTAACTGCTGATCACTCAGCTCATGGTCTCTTGTCCCTGCAGAGAGCAGTGGCTGTCAGTCACTGCTCCCAGTAGGTATTCACCCCTCCACTCTCTATTCATCCAGTGCTCACTGGAGTTAGACAGGGAAGGGAGGGGCGTGCACAGCTGGCTTAGGTAATGAAGGCATCAGGCAGCCAGGAGTGTAGGGCTGCAGCTAACGATTATTTTCATAATCGATTAGTTGGCCGATTTTTAAGTTCGATTAATCGGATTAAAAAAAAACTAGTTTCTATTGAGATTGTAGTCCATCACAGGAGCAAGCTTGGCACAGTGGAAGTAAAAAAAAAGTGTGGTGTGCAATATAGTACATTATACAGCGGCGCAATGCAGAATACCAGCAGCTATAGAGGAATGCAGCAATAGTACGTTATACTATAATGTA